GGCCTGTACTGAATGAACATGCTAAATTTTATAAATAAGACGTAATTTGATCCCGGGTGCCGGGAGCAAGCAATCAAAAGAAAAAAAATACTGTGTCATGGGCTGAACTAGGATAGGTGACCACCTTGAATCATGTAAAGTAAACGCTCTACCCATCTGAGCTACGCGATCTCGACTACCGTGGGTCAGAATCCTATCGAGGCCATCACGTTCTTCACAGTTGAGTAAAACGAATTATGCAAATCTGTCAAAAAAACTATTCATTAAGTGAGCCTGTTGGATTTTAGGTGGGTTGCTTAGGAAATCCTGCTTGGGCAGTCATGCGTTGGATGTGCAACTTGATGCAAGCTTGATTAAACCCACGGCATCAAAACTCAGGTGAGGAGAGTGTCTAATACCTTGTACTAGAATAGTTGACTGCCTTCGGGTGTCCGCTTCGTGTGTCCGCTTCGAGTTTTAGATCTATTGATTCACAACCCTTGGAAAAATATCCTTGGAGGGGTTAGAAGGATGGACCGCTTGCAGGAAATGACGGTAGAGTACTATTTTCCAGACATGACCGTACAATAAATAATAATTTCGATTGACACAGAACGGTTAAGGGTAGGAGAGGATGCGAAAATCTCCTCGGGCGAACAAGTATGTAGACTCCAAAAATCCTACAAATGAGGTCGGTGGTTTTAGCTTTTCTGGAGAACTTCATCAACTATTTTGTTACTTTGCCATCCACCTGTGTGTCCGGTTTTACCCTTTGACTCTCATTTTTTCACCGATCCTTTCGCACAATTCTCCAATAGCCTATTTCTGTCAATTGCCGTTTCTGCTAAAGTAAATTAGGTTTCTTTTAGACCGCCTATCTTCTTTTTCCTCTCAGGTTCCTTCCCTCTACCCCCTCCCTTCCCGTCCCGTTATTCCCTTCTTCCACATTTCGCCTTTCTTTTGAATACCCAACTTCCCCGCCTCCGTTTTCCTCACCTTCCGTTTTGTTTATTTTCTGTTCACTTATTTTAACTCAGTCTTGCTCCAACCTTCCTCATACATGGTTTTCACCTGCTCCCACTCCACGCGCTTCTTGCACACCTCACCACCTTGTCTACGCCGGCCTCGATGCGACCTTTGTGCCCAGACGGTAACCATAGCGCTATATCGCCATCTGTGGTGAACACCTCGTAAAGGCCAGATGGTCTTAGGCTGGTGTACACATAGGCAGCCAATTCTGAGACTTATACGGCAGGGCAGCACCTGCTGGTAGCCAGATTTAGTCGTCCCAACAACAGCTTATGAATCATGCCAAGCGCGATCATCTCTGTGCCACCCTCTGACGCCTCTCCAGCCTGGCCTACGAACCGCAGGTGGCAAAAAGTGCAGTAGGGAGGGGAGCGGGCGGTATTTTTTCTCATGACATATGCCAGACAGGTTCCACGGAAGACAGGCCACAATCTAGCTGTGGCTCGCATCCTCTGTACGTAGCAGCAAATTACCTGGTTTTCGTGGAGAGTGGC